TTCCATCTTCTAAAGCAGTGGTTCTCAACCTGTGGGTCGGGACCCCATTTGGGGTCGAACGACCATTTCACGGGGGTCGCCAAACAACGCAGTCCGCCATTTTTTTGCCCTTTTCCTTAGCTGTGCTACTCCCTTTTATTCTATTGGCTTTTGAAAGCCAATAGAATAGACTCTCTTGAATAGAGTCTAATTCTATTGGCTTTCAAAAGTCAATAGGAATTGTCCCGGATGTCTCTGCCCTGCTGAGCCCGCCAAAAGTCCTATTCTGCAAACGGTGCTACACCAGTTGAGTAGTCCTCGACTTACGACCGGTTAAGTAGTCCTCAACTTACGACCGGTTGGGGGGTCGCGGCATTAAAAAGGTTGAGAATCACTGTTCTAAAGAATTGCTGGCCCTGTCTCATAATACAACAAAGCTCAGCTATTCACATTGTAATAATAGGTTAGACAATATTTGCTTATAATTTTAATCTTTCTGCTGTGCATATGTAATATTGAAGACAGTATGATATTTTGATATTTTTTATTATTTTAGCATTTTCTTTACTGGTAAACTATGAAAACAACTAATCCTTTTATGTTAATACAGTGAATTTTTTTTCTTCCTAGTATTTTCCTCACAAATGCAGGATGTCATAGGTCAAAATTCAGAGTCAGATTCTGACTCCAGTTCTGACAATGTTCCAGTCAAGTCCTGTGTATTGTTAGCCTCAGGCTAACAATGATTGTGATTCACCTGAGGAGGCTGATCTATCACAGGTATCCGATCAGCTAGAGCAGAGCTTTTCAATCTTTTCACCCATTGTACCACTTTTAGGATATGGCAATATCTGAGTACCACCAGTCGCCTAGCAAGGTGTCAAAAACTTGATGACCCCCACAAAGGAAAAAAGTGATAAAGTAACAGGTAGTCCTCCACTTACAACAGTTCGCTTAGTGATTGTTCGAAGTTACAATGGCACTGAAAAAAGTGCCCCCCAAGCCATAGCCGAGCAAGACACCTGCCTGCCCACCCAGCGGTGCTCTTCCTCCTGTCCGAGGTTTCCATTGTTGTGAGCATTTCTATTGAGGGTTGGCAGCAGGGCTGGGGTGGGGGTGTGTTTGGTTTTTATTCCCCCCGTCTGCTGGGTGGTTGCAGCAGGTTTTGGTCACTTCACATGACCCTGGGACACTGACCGTCATAAATATGAATCAGTTGCCAAGCATCTAAATGTAAATCACAAGACTCTGGAGATGCTGCAACATTCCAGCTGATCAGCGCTTCTTCTGGGTTCAGCAGAAGTACCAGGATCAGTGCTGTTTTCCAGTTGATTGGTGCTTCTTCAGGGCTCAGCAGAAGCACCAGGACCAGCGCCGAGCTCCAGCTGGAGCCTGCCGCTGATCCTGGTGCTTCCGCTGAGCCCTGACAGCCCTGCAGCTCCAGCCATCTCTCGTTCAGGCTTGTGCAGTGCTGCCACCGATTCAGCTCATTCCCCTCCCCCGCTACCACTTTTCTAGGATGGTCACGTACCACCTGCCAATGTACCACAGGTGGTACCCATACCACTGGTTGAAAAGCCCTGAGCTAGAGCAGTCAGATGTGATGAGACATGAACCTCAAGCTCTTGATGCATTCAATGGCAAGCACAGCAGCACCACTCACTGAGTTTCCTCACTAAGAAAAGGGCCAGTCCTGAATAATTGCAGAATAATGATTTTAATTATTAAAATTACATGTGCAGGTTTCACTGGGTTAAAAAAAATTAAAAACTATATTGCCAAGCTCTATGAAGTATATTCATTAGCAACAAGATAAGTTACCAATTTTAAAAAAAGATACAGATCTCATTTGCCCTACTGCAATACTGAAGAGAAGATTGTACATACTTTAAGACATGTGTCTATGTTTAAATGTTTGGAATAAGTGACTGAATCGGCAAGACAAATCAGAAGAAAGGGAGTTAGAAATCTCAAGGAATCAGCACCGGATCTTGGGGGGGGGGGGTTGGATTTAACCAGAATTCCAGCACTATCAGCCTTGGGGCCAATGAGGAAGCCTTGGGTATGGGAAAGAAATCACAGGAAAGTAAGTTGTTTCTGCTTTAGATTTATTAAGGCTAGATCACATCTATATTTTCTCAGAGCAAGCTGTAATAACTTGATGAGCTTAACAAGATACTTTGAGACAAACTGTCATAAGTCAAAACGGTTCCAAAATAATTCAGTATTATGAGGGGGAGGGAAAGCTGGTTTGTGACAATCTTGCCTGTTTTAGCCCTGTGGGCATCAATTTTTTATTTTAATACCAAACTTCTCCATCATTATTTCTATCTCATTCATCTTTTAAATGCTTTGTTTCACACACTGATATGATATCTTGTAGCAGAAAGCATTGGGAAGACAACAATGGAAGACTTGAAAGATGTGTGAACTCACTAGAAATGAAAATCCAAAACCATTTGTAGACTAGAAACTCAGACACATTTGCCATTTCATCATTTCCAACTTCTTTGGGAGATTACAGAGATGATAGATAGATAGATAGATAGATAGATAGATAGATAGATAGATAGATAGATAGAGAAAAAAGAAAGAAAGAAAGAAAGAAAGAAAGAAAGAGAAAGAAAGAAAGAAAGATGTCTAAAAATTGATTTAGGGTGGTGAGAGCAAGAAACCAGCACCCTAAATCTTAATTTTTTTCTATCATATACACTTCCAAGTCACAATAAGATTTTCAACATTCTAGCCCTCCAATTGCCAGGGGATGATAGAAACTGCAGTCCTTGGAGGTACTAGGTTGGGGAAGGCTGAACTGATCTTTTAACGCTATATGGTCAGTCTAAATTGGGAACAGAATCTTTTATCATTTAGCGAAGCAGTTGTTCAGCAGGATACCCACGTGACTGCTTCGCTCAACAATTGCAATCCCAGCTCTCCCAGCTGCGGTTGTTAAGCAGATGGTAAAAGACCTGCCTGCCAAAAGAGAGCAGGCAGTTCCCCTCCATCCATGGAAAGCAACTCCTGCATTGGGCTAGAGAAATAAGGCTTGGACCCCAAAGATTTCTGCAGCCTGACAAAGGATTCCCTATGCGTGGAGGGGAGGGGAAATCCTTCAGCGGCTGGCAGCAGCTTGCAACCTTTTCTACTGGTTTTCCCATTGACTTTCTAGGGAAGCCAGCAGACAAGATTGCAAATGACAGTCATATGATTACAGGGCACTGTCCAATCAGTGGTAAGTATGCACTGGTTGCCAAGCACCCAGATCACAAGCACATTATTGCAGGGGTGGGGAACAGCATGGTGTTTTAGAATGGCCAGAAGTGTTTCACTTTCCAAAATTTCATAATTTTGAGCAGTCATTAAACAACTAGTTGTAAATCAGGGAGTACAATATAATAATTGTGTACTATAATAATCAACATTTAATCCCAGCGCTATCTATATATAAAGGACTGAAAAAGTAGAATTTTAAATTCAATCTTTTGATTCAAACAGCACCTTTTATTTTGTTTTTCCTTGGACTGAAAAGTTGTGATGCTCCTTAGACTCCTTTACATGTTATACAATTCAGCCAGGTTTGCAAAAACAACTATACAGACATGCAAGTGAGGTTGCAACAATCACAATACTTGCAAAAATCTGTACAATGGCTCGTCTTTTGCACTTATCCTTTCTTCACTCCTCCACTGTGTGATTTAAGAAAGTGAGATCCATGATGTCCCCCAGACATTAGATAATGTCATCTTAACTTATCCATCTCTAAAGAACCAGGGTTGAATAGCACATTTATTTTCCGGGATTCCCCGATTTATTTCGGGGAAATAAAATGCTTGTATAAAATGGATAGTTGTGGAACTAACAATGAACAGACCTAGTATTTCTAACAATGTGCTGTTTGTAACTGAACAAGGTATATAACTGAATAAGCTTATAACAGCGCACGCTTCTCTTAGTCTTTTCTGGCAATTAAGGTGTCCTCTCAATATATCCATATGGACGCTAGGAGGAGCTATATCACCACACATCTTTCCCGCGTTTTCGCGCAGACTGTGAAATATGAATGTTTATTCATTTGTGGCTGACAGTCTTGAGCCACATTCTGAAAGCATCCTGTCTGTGGACAAGAACAGAAGGAACTAACTAGGAAGAAGTTTCTTTGCTTCATTTCAGGAATATCGAGCTGTTCCATCGCTCTCACCAGGAGCGAAGTGCAGCGTTCCCCAATCTGGAGCCATCTAGATCAGGGTTTCTTAAGTTTGGGAGCTGCCGTCCACATTGTCTTAAAGTGGCCAAGGTTGAGATAGCCTGATCTGTGGACGATTCCCAGATTCTCTGATTAGGGGAGTTGCATTCCGGTACAACTAAGGGGCGCCGGGTTGGGGAAGCAAACGTAAGGTAGGTGATGAGAGTGTCTTGTGCAAGGAAATCTCTTTGTTTCGCACACGATCGCCCTGTATCTTCCCACAAACCTAACGGTGCGGGAGCAGTGAGAGAAAACATAGCTCCTTTGAGACAGTTTCGGATTTGCGCTTAAAAGCGTCAGCGGTCTTTAAAAAGATTGCTTTATACTTAGGACACAGGACAGCAAGATCCGGTTTCTCAGCCTCAGGCGCACCGCAGCGGAAGCTTCGCTACCTGGGCCATAAAAAGCAGCTTTGTTTCGCACTGCGGCCGACCGCAGACGGCTGAAATGACGGGGCCTCCAGGGAACTGCTTCGCTTGTTAACTGTCCTCAAAGGTTCCAAATGAAAAGCTCTCTGCAATCCGCCAGGCTCATCTCTAGAACAACACCGAGGACTAGCGGCTTGGAAATTGGAAGAGGAGAACTCTCTACTCCAGACACTGCTCCCTCTCGGAGTTTCCATCTTACCGAGGAGAAAGCATTCCTGGGAGGAATGGGCCGAGTAGAGGTGAAAGGGGCGGCTTGATTTTAAACCTAAACTTTTTTTGTTAGGTATAATGCCAGAAAAGACTGACAAAGTTTAAACTTGACTTGGCATGTCATAACAGTGGCAAGAATTATATTTGCGCCACACTGGAAAAATGAAGGAATACCATCAAATGAAGAAATAAAAAAAAATATTAGAATGCGCAGAGATGGACAGATTGACTATGAGACTGAAAGAAAAGGCAGGAACGGACTATTATCAAACCTGGGACTTATTTTACCATTGGCTAGAGGAAAGAATAAAGGATTAGGAATTAAATATGTATTAGCGTGTAAACTCAGACAGCACGTTGGTTGAAAAAAATTACTATTGTATGAATGGAAAAAATGAATTTAAAAAAAACTTCTATAAAGCGAACGGGGGCGGCTCGCCCAAGAGAGCTTGGCTAATAGAAGTAGCCCCGATATCTAATATACCTGTATTTGAAAGCCTCCAGACGTCAAAGCTGGAAACCCGTCACTTTAGCCCGGTTATAGCAGCGCTCCCAATTCAGAAAGGTGAGTTTTCTCGGCGGTGGGCAAGGCGCTGCGAGGCCAGGGGCGTGGCCTCCCCAGACGGGGCGTGGCTTCCGCAGCGCTGTCTTTGCAAAGCGAGGCTTGACTCGCCGAGAGGACGCGGAGGGGCGGGTTTCCCCCATCGAATCCCGGAGCCCAGACAGCACCGTGTGGCGCGGCCGCCCGTCTGTCCTTTCAGCCGCTCTCCAGCCATGACCCTGCGAAGACTTCGGCGCCTCCGGCCCGGACAGCCGGCGCAAGAAACGGCGGCGAGCGTGGCCGGCCCGGAAGCTCACGGGGGCCGCGTGTCGGAGCTGGAAAAGGCGCTGGCGGCCTCGGGGGGCACCTTGCCCCGAGCCAGGCGGGTAAGTGAAAGAGGGGACGCCGCCCTGGCGGAGGGGGACGGGAGGCGGCAGGAACCGAGCATTGCACACGCGCGATCCTCCTAACCCGGCGCCGGCTCTCCTTGGCCCGCCCCCGCCCCTTCCAGTCCTGGGTGTGTCTCGTTGCGGACCCGATTATCGCCTGTGCCGCCGCTCGTTTAGCCGCCCGCTCGCCCCCCCCCTTGCCATTACCTTTCCTGCCCGTCCTCTCCCGAGAGGCGAAGCGCTTCCAAGGACTGGGAACTCGGGGGGAGACCCCCTCGGGCTTTCGCTGCCCAGTCCTGGGAGGAAGGGCTGCCTTTCCCCCGGTCTTCTCGCTTTCCTTTCATTCTCCGCGAAAGCCTTCGCCTCTCCTCCTCCGGGGAACCTGCCTGGGTTCAACGCGGAGCGGAGCCGTCCTCCTGCCCTCACCTGCGCTACTTCTCGATGCGGGAGGCGCGCTTCTCCGTGCCTTGGAAGGTGCCGCGTGGGAGAAAGAGGTAGCCGCGGGGAAGTGGATTCACACACACTTTCGGCTGGGTCAGCAAGACTGAGATTAGCCTCCTGCTGCCACCTCGACTCATCCCATCCCGCCTTTCCTGACAAAACTTAACGGCCCTCTCGGGTGAGGATGGTGGAAAGTACGAAGCCGGAGCGCAAGTTTCCGACCGAGCCACCAGAAATTCCTCGTAGGGCAGAGGTCTCCAACCTTGGCAACTTTAAGACTTGTGGACTTCAGCTCCCGAATTGGCTGGCTGGGGAATTTTGGGAGTTGAAGTCCAGAAGTCTTAAAAGTTGCTAAGGTTGGAGACCTCTGTTGTAGTGGACCTGTTAGTCCTGGGATTGACCAACTGTTCTGAATTTGCTTGGAGAAGCTAGAAGACAGGTCTCCTGGGTGGGCTAGTGCCTCTTCTTGATTGTTACCACTTGGTATCTGGAGGCCATTTAAACTTATAATTGATTGATGGCTTCCAGCCCATGAAAGTATTACTGTAAATAAAAATTAATGGGTGGCAAACCACTTTGGGGACTTGAATCTAGCAAGTGGGGGGGGGAGGGAGGAGGGGCGTCTGCCAGATGCTTTATTGGGGGAACTCCTCTTTGGCCCAGCTAGTTAACTTTGCAGCTGACTTTCTAGATCAGTGTTTCTCAACCTTGACAATTTTAAGGCATGTGGACTTCAACTCCCAGAATTCCACAGCCAGCAAGTTGAAGTCCACATGCCTTAAAATTGTCAAGGTTGAGAAACACTGTTCTAGATGGAAAAGCATCGCATATATGCACTCACTGAACTTGTTTTTTACATTGCAAAAATGTGTGGCTTATGTCTCACAAAGCTCGTACAGGGAGAAAATTTACATGGATGCATGTCCTACTGGACTATGTGAGATATATATATTTGAATAAGCATACATTATACTCTTTTTTTAGATACAAATGTAAAACATGAGTGTGTACATTCAAAGAAGTTGTGGTATTCAAATGTTTCATTGTTTGCATGGGTTTCTTGCTCTCTGGAGGGAATCGTTAGGAAGGCAATATGGTGAAGAAAAAAAGTGTCCATCTGTTCAACATCTCAAATTCTGTGGTTACTGTTCCCCTCCTAGTTACGGAATCAGTTTTATTTTTTTTCATTGTATTCCGGATTAACTCGGTACAAAGCAAAAAGTCTAACTGAGCTCCCAAACCTTCCACCCCAAAATTGATCTCTGATAACTCCGGATTTCATTTCTTTCAGACTAATTTATTGAGGGGAAGAAGTCCTGTAGTTCACTTTGCAACTGGAGCAGTATAGATCAGCCAGTGAGCTATTAACTAATGCAGACTAATCTTTATCTATTGCTGGGTTAGGTATACCTGAATTGTTTGGGAACTTCTAAGTGCGTAGGGGGAAAAGAAACCTCCTTAAAATTGAGGGTTCCCGTTCCCTTCTCCAAATCATCCTAGCACTATCTTGGTGAGTTAGACTGTAGCTTCCATAGTCCACAGCTAGCAAAGTGGAAATGGAAGTGCCAGGATGCAATGCTTCTGGGAAATTAAAATAAATAACTGTGCTGTTTTCTTTGGTAAGGGTTTATGAAACAAGTTCTATATCTAAATTTGTTTCTGAGATGCTAGGTTGGTCATTCTTACCATGTTTTGAGGGGAAGGGTGTTGGAATTATTTTTTATTCAGTACAGTACTAAGTGACTAAGGTTAGCGTTCTTAGTGTTCATTTTAACAACAGTGTCACAGTTACTGCTGCAGATACTACTGCTTCCAAGTTCATCATTTTATGACTGTGGTGTCTGTGGCTTAACACTAAAATGGGAATTAATTTGTGTGGCAATCTCCTCCTTTTTTTTGTGAAAGAAGGGATAATGGCACAATAGAACAGCCCTTCTTTGTCTGTCTCAGCAAAGGGCAAGATCAAAAAGCTTACAGGAAACTACTCAAAAAAGCCAGGAACCTTTGCTAGGCCTATTCAAAATGAGTCAAAACCTAATAGAGATACATGTGTCATTTATATATCATGAAAGTATCCTAGAAACAACTGGAAACCTCTTTTGGCACTCACAGGTGCTTTCATCTATCCAGGGGTCACCAAACATGGCAACTTTAAGACTTGTGGACTTCAGCTCCCAGATTTCCCCAGCCAACATGGCTGGGTGAGGAATTCTGGGAGTTGAAGTCCCCAAGTCTTAAAGTTGCCACATTTGGAGACCCCTGATCTATATGTTCGAGGGAAAACAACACACACACACCATTTGAACTACAGGTAGTCTTTGACTCACAACCATTGTTTAGCAATCATTCAAAGTTACAATGGCACTGAAAAAGTTACTTATAACTGGTCCTCCCACTTATGACCGTCGCAACGTCCCCATGGTTATGTGATCAAAATTGAAGCCATTGGCATGCATTTATAATGATGACATTTTCCCAGGATATGGAATTGTCATTTTTGTCCTTCCCAACTGGCATATTAAAGCAAACTCAATTGGGGGTGGGGGGGACTGGATTCACTTAACGACCACATGATTCATGATTAACTGCAGTGATTTACTTAAAACAGTGGCAAAAATATTGTTAGATTGAGTATGGCTTAGTTAACTACCTTGCTTAGCAATGGAAATACTGGACTTGCAATTGCAGTTGTAAGTTGAGGTCTATCTACAGACATGATGGTCAAGAGTCTATGGGCATTGTTACCCAAAATATCTTTAAAGTCTTCACACGGTCTGCCCTCCCCCCACCCCAAATCTAAAGCTCTATCCCAGGGGTGTCAAACTCACCGTGTCACGTGACATGTTGCGACATATCGTGACTTTTTTCCCCATTGCCAGAGCTGGGGTGGGCGCAGCTTCCACATGATGCATCCGGCCCACAGGCTGGCAGTTTGACACCCCTGCTCTATCCTATCTAAAGCAAAGATAAACACAATATGTTGGGGGGAAGAGAGCGTATTTTTTTCAAAAAGATTCTATTCATCATTTAAAAATTTCAAGTTGCATTCCAGAAACCAGCTTTGGAGTATCAACCCCTGAGCTGCATTTGAACCAACTGTTAGAAGGAAACAGGGACTCATTTCCTATACAGCCCTTCACGTCCCATAATACTGTCCTGTGGTTACGGCTGCCTGCCTACTGTGCGCAGATACAACAGCTGTTAAAAGGAACTTGGTCTGCTGTGACCTGGTACCAGTGGTTTCCCCGACAGCCAGTTCGTTTTGCGGGTTCTTGACTTTATTAATCACCCTCCGAGTGGAGGGGAGAAGTGGCAGACTGCCACGCATGGGTGGCGTCTATGCTAAAACACCTTGACAACCGTGACATCACTGTTGTCCAGAACAAAAGTGACGTAACTGAGAAGAAACAATTACTGGAAAGAAGGAGGAGGTGTGGACGATATGAGCCCACGTGGAATGGCTTATAGCCTAATTTTTAACGTTTTGTTTCCTCCCCCCCCCCAACCTCTCTGCTGGTTTGAGGTTAGAAGCAATATTTTGATTTCTGTTTCCTGTGCTCATTGCCAAGCATGGGAGTTCCCAAACAAGAAACACAGTAATCACATTTCTTTTGGGGGTGGCTTTTACCTCCAGCTATATTATATTCTAGCTGTGGTGGTGCAGTGGTTAGAATGCAGTATTGCAGGCTAATTCTGCCGACTGCCAGGAATTCGATTCTGACTGGCTCAAGGTTGACTCAGCCTCGCATCCTTCCGAGGTCGGTAAAATGAGGACCCAGATTGTTGGGGGCAATATGTGGACTCTGTAAACCGCTTAGAAAGGGCTGAAAAGCACTGTGAAGCGATATATAAGTCTAACTGCTATTGCTATTTTTGAAACCCCTGGCTTCCACTGACAGCCCTGACCTGCATCTATTACTCATTCTGCAGCATCCATAGATATATCTCTGTGTCAGGCAGACCTCGGATGGCTGAGCCACGCTTCTGTCAGATTAATGGCATGGCTGCTCTTTCTCCCCCAACTTTTAAAAGTGATAAAAATTGTCTGTCCTTACTGTTTGTCTGTCTGCTCCTGTTCAGTGCTCAGGATTTCTTCTGCAGAGATTATACTTCTTGCTGTCCCATCCTCCTCCTCCTCCAAATTGTTGAGCACAAAGTAGTGAACTATCTGGTGTCAGTTAACTTCGTAACTGAGTTGGGGGTCTTCCTGTTCCTACTCCCAACATTCTAACCTCCATAGTGTGTTGTCCCCTCAAGGCCAGCCTCATGAAGTATTTTACATCAAGAAGCAAGTGGATCTTTGAGAATGCTATGATGCACTCTATTGCCATAGAGAAGGGGTAGGCAACCTTGGCTCTTTTATGACTCGTGGACTTCAACTCCCAGAATGCCTGAGCCAGCTATGCCTCCCAGATCTCTACTGCCGAAATCCAGATAGCTACAAGATGGCGGCAAAGAACCCCAGTAATCTCAGTTTGCGGACCAGATTTTGCAGGTTCAGAAATGCTTCCTTAGGGAAAAAAAACAAGATCAAAGGTTCTTATGCTCCACGTAAT